TCAACTGGGACCTCCCTGGTTAGCCAGGACTGCTGATAGATGATGGAAAGTGGCTTGGTGAGCACTTCTGCCAGCTCCCTCAATAACCTTGGGTGGATCCCATCCGGCCCCATAAACTTGTGTGTGTGTCTAAGTGGTGTAGCAGGTCGCTAACCATTTCCCCTTGGATTATGGGGGCTTCATTCTGCTCCATTCTCTGTCTTCCAGCTCAGCGGGCTGGGTACCCTGAGATTTAGATGACATAAATCACTTCTTCCAAAAAAAGTGTTACACTTCAAAAATATTTCACACACTCAAACTGGTCTTTGCCATTATATAAAAGAATTCACTGTCATATCCCCTGTAAGAACAGAGAACTATCTAGGTTTTTGCAAGTCAGCAGAACTAAATACTGCTAACTATTCAGGACTAAAGCTCTAGTTTAAGATGCCACAGATATCTCCTCAACTATGCAGCAAACCAATGCCTTTGTTCGCCTTTATTTTCTTTGTTATTCACTACCAAATTGCCTATTGAGAAGAAAATGGTAAACAAGCTACTAATATTGGTCATGTAGCTGCAATCATGAACACTTTATCATTTAATAGCTTAATGCATGCATGCTTAAATTGCTGAAAACAGCAATAATTGCCTCAGGTATTAAGAAAAAATTCAGCCCTTGCTTCTTCTGGGTAGGTCAGGGGCTCAAGGAGAATTAAAAATGACTGGAGAGCCAGGCTATAGCAGAGGAAAAATGACTACTGAAAAAGTAGTTTTCCTGCTCTGCACCAAGGTCAGCCAATGCTGTAAATCGCTTCTGTGTTAAAAACGTGTCAGAGGAGAACTTCCCAGAGCTTTCTTCAAAGAGCCCTTGCTTTCAAAAGAAGCTTTCTTCAGCATCCTTAATATTTTGTCTTCCTGAAGGTATATTATCACAAAAAAAAAAAAGACAGAGAGAAAGGAAGAGAAAGCAATACATGCTTCAGCACAGAAAATTCACATTTTCTCTCAAAACAGAACAGAACAGAAAATTCTCGATGAAGTTTTCTCCAACTTTTTGCTAAAATTACATTGGAAACAAGTCAGTACAAACTGCTGCAGTAATAATTAATGTGGCAAATGCATTCTCGCTGCTGTCGTTGCACTTTGGTTATGGTTTGTAATAGCAGCAAATTGGACAAACCTCAATGAAAGGATTAAATTCCTACTTAGGAATGCGATGATGTAAACTAGAGTACAGTCTACTGGTCTAGACTGCCTTAAGGATTCAAATCTTGCTGGAGACTTGTTTCTGCTTAGTTGCATGCTTCTTGGTTTTTGCATTCAACCTGGTTGTGATGGGGCAGAATATTCTTTCACCCGCCAACAGGGTGTGAGAGACTCAAGATGTGAGAAACAGAAGGAGCAGAATCAAGGGGAGAGAGCAGTTGGTTATCACCAAGAACTATGGTAAACAGTGATCACATATTGGTTCAGTGAACTGCAGAAGCACTGAACATGGACTTTAACACTACCACTAACAGTTATCATTCGCTTTCCACGATGACACCATCTACAAGAGCTAACAAAACAACATAAAAACTTACTTGGAGTGAAAATGCTCGTAAAGCAGGAATAGGGATTAAGGCAGCCATAAAGAAAGCAGTAACATTGCTGATAGATGTAAGGGCTACGCTTGCTCCTGTTCGCTTCAAACATTCACCTGTTCTGTCCTGCAAAACAAATGACGTATTGTACAAGCCAAGTGAATAATGTGATGTCTTGCAAATGAAGGGGTCATCCTACAGATATAACATGGTAACAATGAAAACTATTACAAGGAAATTCTGAATACAAGTGTGCATTTGAGAGTATGTAAGAATAAACAATATACTAAGTATGCTGACCAGGAGAAAAGCAGATGACATATGAAGTGCTTACATTTTTTGAGGGTAGCAAACATTATCAAAGCTGACACTGGCTTCAAAAGTCAAAGCTAAATGGATGCTGACATTATATCAAATACATCAGTTATTAAGTAGGATGCATTTTGTGTCAGTGCAGTCACTTGGTGTTCTCAATATTTTTCAGACAAAATAAGCATGCATTAACAGCGTAGATGCATAATGTCTTGAAGAAGCATGTAAGAAAAAAACCAGAAATCCCAGGAATCGCACAAAAAAACAGAGAGAATCAAACACAGGACCCTTTCCCAATGCAGTAGGTTATTTTGAAGCATATGGAGGTTATAGCACAATGAGTTTGTAGTGCCTGCATGCTGAACCAGCTGGAAAGAGCACATGGAAGACATTGCTTGTACAAAACAAAACTGGCAAATATATATTGTTTTTAAATGATTTGTACTTTGGATATGAAACTTTGGACGGAGAATAAAAAGGAAAAGATTATAAAAGTGAGGAGGATCTTAGATTTCATAATGTGAATAATGTGAATATCATGGTCAATTATAAATAAAAGGAAAGAAAACCAGGCCCTAGGACAAAGATCTTTAGAACAAAAGCTTTTAAAAAAAAAATCATTACTAACCAATTCTAGGTATAATATATTTTCCTATATGAGGCTTTTTCTTTTATTTTATTCTTTTATTTTCTCCCAACTCCCCATTTTGTCATTACCTCAAATGGAATCCTCTTATTCTGCCCTGTTTCACTAAATGCATGTACCAGAAGGAATACGTCATCTACACCAACTCCAAGAGCAAGAAAAGGCAAAACCTTGGGGGAGAAACAAAACAAGCAAAAAACCAAGAAAGTTTTTATATTATTCTTATGATCTGCCATGCAGCTAGTCATTAGATGGCTAATCAAAATAACCTTTACACTACACTCTGAACACAAATCCAAGATTAAAATGAAAATCAATAGGATGCAATACAGATATTAACTTTTATTCTGAAAGACTGCTGAGGAACTTGCAGTATACCATTTACAGGTACAAAACCTCACTAAAAGTAATTCAAGTTTTTGGTAGGCAAAGAATATCAGACAATATTTCAAGATATTTTCAAAATATTTTCAGGAGTTGAATATCCTGATATATTCAGATGTAAAGAAAAAACTTGCAGCTTCTTATGTACAATGAGATGCTTGCACTCATATTGGGACACAGAAAAACAAATATCCTAGAATCTACCTAATTAAACAAACTGCAGGATATCTGCCTTTTTCTTTAAAATCATTTGGCAGCACATTCTCTTAATTTCTCACAGCACAAGCTACTAGATAGGAGAAAGACACAAGTAAAACCTAAAAATCAAAATACTTTCTCAGCTTTTGTTTTTCCTCAAAGATTGATTCAGATGTGTTCATTTACTAACAAAGTTCTTGTAATTTAGCAGCAGACTACTTGTGGCTCATTAATACCTGAGTTGTGGCAGCATTAAAGGAAATTCCAATCAATGAGCACAGACCCAATCCTGCAGCCACTGAGAGAGCAACCAAGATGACTCCTGCCAGCCCCACAGCAGCCTGAGACTTGGCACAGTCCCACCGCAGCATTGTTAAACAGGCGTAGGCAAGCTGAAAGCAGAGCAGGGATTGGATTAGAATGGATCCTTCTCTATCGGCTATCTCCCCCCAACAACATACACAGCTTACAAGCGTTTTTAAAAAGAACAGACACATCAGAGATGTTACATAGAGGAATAGGTGACAACTCTGAGGCAAATGTTTACAAACTGCAATTTTTATTTTAAGTATTCTGAAAATGTTCTGGACTGTTGACTGGTAATAACAAGGCAGCCATTTGAGCCCTGCTATACTACTGGAGTCAATTAAGTAAACAGAATTTATTTTCTTACCATTAGTAAGTAGCCACTAGCTACTCTGATAACACTGACATCAGAAAATGACTTTAGAATGTCATCCAGGGTAGTTGTAGTAAAGGAAAGCACCTTCTGAGTAGAGTTTTGTGCAACACTTTGATGAACAACCTATGGAAAGAAAAATAAAACTTAGTGTGGCTAAAAAAAAAGCCCATTATCATCTTCTACAGCACATATCTGAAATCAACTACTTTTGCCTTAATGTTCCTGTTAAAGCACACACCCTATACAAGAGATTTCACTGATGCTACATGAAATAAATATTTTTGTTAATTATTTCCTGCAAGCTACTGATTATCAAACAAGAATTTGCACCCTTCAGGAAAGGCCACTGCATTCACAGCTCATTCAAAACATTTAACTTAACTCCTGAAATGTAAAGGAGGTTTCTTCTTTCCATAACTCTGCCATTGATTTGCTGTTGTATGAGTTTCGCCTTTAATCCAAGGTCCAGCAAACAGTAAAACCTTCATGGCTTCTCATATGTGAATAAGCAAGCAGCTTCTTAATTAAAAAAAGAAGAAATCAGCCTTTTAAAATAGTCTGTTACGGCGCAAGGATAACTTTAAAACCAGGAGACAACACTCAATTCTAGTTTAAGCATCTTCCTTGAGAAAATACTATAAAAAGCCACGACTAAAGGCAGTGGATATTAGTAAAACTTTATAGCAAGATATCTAGGTTATTTTCAATTTTACCTCAACATACATCCGCTGCCAGGCTTCCAGAATTGCTGCTGCCTTATCCTCACTCCAGTTGATATGTGAAACATATTCATACCCCTTAAAGTGCTCATACATTTGCTTAGGAGTCATTAACTGAAACATGGTTTGCAAAGCCTGGGCACTGTAACAGGGAGAGGAGAGAGAGGAGAAAGAGGCATAAAATAAGCATTTTCAGGAAATGATTTTTCACTGCATAAAGGCTCAAATGAGAGCCTAATAGGAGCTTGCACAAGTTCTTGATTTTATAGGCCACATGTTGACATTAAAATTGAACAGAGTATAATTATTCTACTGTGTATCTGGTACAGCTGTACTGGTCTATACAGTATTGAGGCTAAGTCTGTTTTCACTGAAGTTAGTGAGAGTTTTTGCCATTATTTTCAATAGGATCAGTTTCAAGAGCAAAGAATGTAACCCTACAAATCAGTTATAAAGGTCATGACTGACAAATTGTTATGAAGAGGACACAGGAACAGTTATTCCTATGAGATCTTGCAATGCTGTTGGCAATTTGTCATTTGAAGACCTCAGTCTTTTTCATCCCTTGGAGAGAAATCATAGAATCATAGTTGCCTACCAGGGTTAAACCACGACACCCAGTCATCACACAATAAAATGCTTTGGTGCATCTTAAGTGAGAAGCACTCGGAAAACCAAAACTGTTCGCTTCTAGTATACATTTGCACAACACTGATCATAGAATCATAGAATGGCTTGAGTTGGAAGGGACCTTTAAAGATCATCTAGTCCAAACCCCCTGCCATGGGCAGGGACATCTTTCACTTCCAACCCCCCCCCCCTAGGCAGAGACACCTCCCCCTCGACCAGATTGCGCTAAGCCCCATCCAATCTGGCCTTGAACACTTCCAGGGAGGGGGCATCCACAACTTCTCTGGGCAACCTGTGCCAGACTAAACTCCTGACACTTGACAAGCAGCAAAGAATACACAAAAGGCAATAATTATCCATCATAAATTTCCACAGTATGTAACTGTATCCAACAATTTTAGAAGCTTAAGGAACTATTTTATTTTTCACCAAGAATAAAGTCCTTGGCTATTTGTTAGAAGACACTTCTGTGCACTTTTTCAGAATAAATCAAAATTAGTAAGAAATTAAATTTCAATATTTAGTGTCAATGTAAAAAACCATCAAAATCCATATCAAAAGTTCTAGTAAAAATTACCTGTATTAAATATGCAAGAATTATACTTCTTTTAGTTTAATAGAAATTTGGATTCAGTGTATACATCTAAATAATGTTTTTATATGTCCTATTTTTTTTAACACGTTTCTATTTCAAGGGGTTTCCCCCCTGAAGTCCAGTGTTCCATGACTTCTTCAAGAAGTCTGAAACAAAGGGTTTTATTTCATCAGTCAAAAAAGTATTCAAGATACAGTGACATAAAGAATATACTTTTCTCTGTATTGACCCTAAACAAACAGTTCAATGGAGATTTGTGGGCACATTACCAAAGTTATTTTTCCCCCTTTTTTCCTTTGATCGTATTTCAAAAACCCAAAGTTGTTCAGTGTTTTAAATACTGTTCAATGCTTTATACATACACTCTAAACAACAAAGTTGCCAGGAAAAAAATTATTTCTGAGCAATATACACTATCATTCTTAGGTTAGAAGCAGGCAGCAATGACACCTCCTTTAATTTAAACAACTGTCTAATCACTCTTTTAAATTCTGTCCTCATCAGGGATGTCCTCCTAGATCAGGGTTCAAAATACACATCATTCACAGATTCTGAAAGGCAGTTGATTTTGCATGATCTGGCCCCCTGCCAAAAAAACCCCAAACCCTAACAAAGAAAAATTTTAAAATTTTCTGTAAACATTTGTTTGCTTACCTGACAAGTTTACCAGAACTATTCTTGACTGTACCGCCTATAATCAATTCCTCCTGCCAATGCATGTATTTTCTTGACAGTCCATAGCATCCACCACTCAAAACAAGAGCCACATCAAGAGGCTAGAAAAAAATTTTAAAGAAGCAATTCATCAGTTGCACAGCTTCGTCAACGAAACAGCCCTTCCTTGAAGGAAGCCTTTGCTCCAGTGTCAGTTTCCAGCGGCAGCCGTATTCCAGGAGTGACTGCATCTGCCTGAGGCATGTTGCCTGCCGAAATGGTGTGTCACCACATTGCCACACCCAGCCAGTAGCTGAGAACTGTAATCTCACTCTAAATATGTGTGATTAATATTGCATCACAGGCTGAGGGAAAGTTAGTGACTCTGGGCTAATGGTATATAATAGGAACCGAATAATGAAATCACCGAAGAACATAAAATATATATTATTTGGAAGGGAATGGTACCCTTTTCTCTCACCACACATACAGAGCCTCCCTTGAAAAGATCTACACAAAGATAAGCAAACTTACTTTGGTGGAATTTTTGTTGGGAGCTGTGATTGGGCAATCAGGATCAGCAGGATTCAGACAAGGTCGATCCATATAACCATGACCAACCTCTGCTTTATTCAGCATTTCTTCCCAGCTCTCCACTTGGTAGTTTATTTTCTTTAACTCTTCTAAGAATTCTAAGGGGTCAAAGTTGATCCACTGCAAAGGAGGTTTCCCTCTGTAAAAGAAATCAGGGAAGAATGACAAAAAAAGACAAAATAAGTACTGAAACATAATTTTTTAATTTGTATTTGCACAAATGATGAAGTTGTTTTCTGTTACAAGCTATAACCCTTTCTGGTAAGGGTGTTTCATAAAATGAAATGCATGTTTTAATTATATTTATGTATACTTTTCCTGTAACCCTGTGGTGATTTTAACAAAAATAGTCAGTACTTACATACCAATTTACTATATGAAAGGGAATATTCACATGTTAAAAACACTTTCATTTACAAACCAAGTAAAACAAACTATCAAGCACCTAAATAACAAAAAAGCAGCCAACTGTTGCTTCAAAGAATTTGGAGGGAGGGGAGAGGGAAAGAAGGGAGGAGGCTGAGGAAAGAAATCCTTTCACATAGTATCAGATTACTTCCTGCTAGTCTAATAATCATCTTGCAAATGTAACCAATCAATATAGCTGATCTTTGTTTATCTATAACAATTCTGTGCTCCTGCAAATGCCCTGGCTGCTTGACTATCAACCATCAAGCTTTCCTGCTACCATGGCTGTCATTGCTATCACTGTCACGTCTCCCACCCCCCACTTTTGGATTTGTGATGTTGACAGACTACAAAGGCTTTTGGCTGCCTTATTCTGTGATTCAAACCACACTGTATCTGCTTAAGCAGGCATAATTCTTTATTTGAAATCTCCCAACCAGAAAATGCAACCCCCCTTATTTCCCTATCTAAAACTGTACACTAAACGTTAGGAGATAGCTATTGCAAATTGCTTTCACAGAGACATGCAAACCAGGACAGAAACAATAACTCAAATGATAACTCTTACATAATTAACAGAAAATGACTGCACAGATTAACAATTAACTCTTTGAATGATCCAGGGCATATAATATCACATTTGCAAATTGTAAGAAACCACCCACAAAATATGTATTTGGTTTCTTTAATGATCTCATAAGCAAAGGATTTGAGTTTTATTTCTTAGGAAGACTTGAGTTTTTACTCAAGAGACATACATTTTCCAGTCAATGTTTTTGTAGTTTGGGGGGGAGGGAATAAAAAAAAAAAGGGGGAAAAAGTTTATTTCAAAAAAAGCATACAATTTAAAAAGCCTGAATTCAGAATTTATATTTCCTTTTGCATGCTAGCAGAACAAGAAAAGTAATGACACAGGACTTAAATTGATGCATCTTTTAGAAACAGAAAAATTTTTGTTCAATTAAAAAAAAAATCTATGTGCATTTTCTGCAAAGACACTACAACTTATTTTTAATTTTTTGGTTAAACCAGAATCTGAATAAGCAATGGGATGCAACTCAAAATCATGCATCATTTTATTATTAAAATCAGACAGACTGTAAAGTTATAAAAACAGCATGCTTACAATAGATAGGCAGTTCCTGACTGTAGCTTTGCTCCCTCCCAGAAGCAGTCCAAAGGAGTGATAATTAAACAAGGATAAAGATATTCTATGATCTGTCAAAGTCAGAAAGGGGAAAAAAACACAGTTAGTCTACAATATAATCTAAACAACACAAGCTGAATCATGAGGATATAAAATGTTTATAACCAAATTCCTGTTATGCCTACCTGGTCCATGTAACCTGCTTCTGTGATGAGTTCTCCTGATTTATAACATAAGTGTTCCAATTTCCATTGTCTGTAATAAATATAAAGAACAAGTATTTTTTTCTTTCACAATTACTGAAGTTATTTTTAAAATTTAACATACATTAAAATTGCAACTCACATAGACATGGTGGCCTCAAGTAGTGAATCACCGAGAAAGACAAATTTTATTCAGCATAGGTATACCACAACCTCACAAAAAAGAAAAGGCCTTTCTTTTTGTAGTTATAACTAGAAATATTTATTTCATTTATGCTAAACAGTCTCTGTAAAAGTCATTAAAAATAATGGAGCTACTTTTGGATTAATAGGCTAGTTGACACAACTAAAAGGGACAGAAATGTGGCTTTATATAAATGAGACCACTTGTGACTTAAGATATCACTCATTGACACAGAGAGAAGTCAGCTTCAGGCTCAGACTAGCTCTGACTCATGCATGTAGGAGAAAAGAAACCATTAGAATTTCTGTTTTCCTTGTTCAGCTGTATTACAACTTCCACTGTAGTGACTTATAGCACCTTAGACAAGGCAGGAGCTGGGTAAAAGATAATTGGAGTCTAGGTATTAGTTCATTTAGGCATCAGTTAGATGTGCTGAAAAGATGTGCTGAAAGACAGCAGGCTTCATGCCTTGCAGACAGCATCCCTAGGCACATCATCATGTAAGTAGTAACCCTGGAGGAACCACTTGTCATGAAGAGATCTCACTAGCCCAAAGCTAGTGCCTTGTTAAGGTGCACTTTTAATATTTTTATTGTTGGACAACTCTTAACTCTTGCTTTTCGGACAACTCCCAACCCTCAGTATGTACACACAGACACTCTGAAGGCCAACTTTACTATGATTGCATCCATGTTATTAAATAGCCCAGTAATTCCACCCACTGCCATTTCTCTTCCATTTGCATTTCCCCTTTAAACCCAAATTACTGGAAGGCTTCTCATTGTTAGGAATCCCATCAATAAAGTCCTATTTTTAAGAGCACAGTCATCACTCCTTTACCAAGAAAAATGCCAGACACTGTAGCACTGCTCATAAGGGTACATTTTCAGAATCTCATCCACCACCTCTTACACCATTTTATTTGTTAAAATGTCAACTGGTCACTGCTGTCATGCCACAATTTCAAGCATCAGTAATTAGTGACATTCAAAACACAGTTCTAAGGGAAAGGTTCTGAAGTGCTATCCATTAAAAATATATGCAAGGAAACATCTGTCCACTTTCTAGCTGTTACAGATGATCAAGAAAAGTTTTGCTTTTTTCCTTACCTGTTGTACATATAAACATCTACTCTGCTGGCCTGAAGTGCAGAGTCAAGGTGCTGTCTGAGTGCTTCTATTGTTAGTACATTAGCACCATCTTCCTGTGGAGTCTGAATCATGAGCTGGGGGTTAAACATGGCCTCTTCTCCAATCTTCTGCCGTGTGTAATTTAATTCCCGACTCACTCGTCCACCAACTGATGGATAAATATTAACAGCTTTGTATTAGCTAATAACAGCTTATTCTGGATTCACATGAAGAGCACTCTCTGGTCAGAAAATCTTTACCATGTGCATGGAATATTCTACCTCAAATTGATTACAGCGTAGCTCTAAATCTAATATCAAATTTATTTTAGTAACAGTGTAACAAAAAACATATTCTCCACTAAAAAAATGCCATTGTCCCTACTGCACTAAAACACTGATGTGCAAATTGAAGCCTCTTAAACAACATGTTTTTTCTATATTAGAACCAATATTCTGTATGTAAAAAAAAACCAAAAAAACCTTTTCCTTGCAAACCAGACTGAATACTCTTATGTTACAATTTCTTTCAGTCATATAAACAGTCTGCTCCAATAGCACATTTCAATAAATTGCTCTTCAATTTACACTCTTCTAAATAATTTGGCAAAGGCAGAAGGGGGGTGTTTCTCTTCAGTTAAAAAAAGGGAAGAGGGA